TCGCCGCCGCACCGGGGGAAATTTCCCGACCGCCCGATCGAGGTAAATTTCATACCCCCGACTCGTTTTTCCGCACTGATTCCTCCTATGGCCAAATCGAAACCGAAATCCCGGCCAAACGGCCGGAATACGCGGCCGAAGCCCAGCGGCGCCGCCGCGCCCCCTCTCGGTTTTTGCCTCCGACGAGGCCCTTCCCGGCCTCCGTTCGATGCAATTTTTATATCACCGTGATCACCATTCTTTTCTCTACAGGTTGACCGGAGCCGAATCACCAAAACACGAACCTCGCCGGAGAGCCGCTGCACCCGAGAGCGCCGCCGCCGGTAAGCTCCGTTTTTTCCGTGATTTTTGGCCCCCCGAGGGCCCTAGGGCTGTTTTCTGACAAGGACCAATGCGAGTGTGGCCGAATTCGGCCGAAAACGGCCGAAAACAGTCAACCCGAGGCGACTCGCCGCCGCCAGCGGCGGTGCCGTCGCCGGAGCACGGCGGAGCCGCCGTGCCGGAGTTGCGATTTGGTCCGAAAGGGGCCCTGGGCCTAATTTGGATTTTTTTTGGAACACGTGCAGGTATTGTTAGTGTGTTTCAGTTCCCCGGGAAAAATTCAGGGAAAATTAGGGAAGGCCTGCAGGCGCACTGTGAATCGTATTCGGATCTCGAAAACAAGTAAGGACCCCTCACCCTATTTCCTATCACGGTATTAAAGTTCAAAATGATAAAACGGTATTTCTTGAATTAACGCATGTGTGAAATTGCTTAAGGTTGCTAATGGAGCCCGAGTCTAGTGTGATTGATGATTTACTGTTATTTGGCCTGTTTTACACTGTTTTACAGCTTTAAATGCATTATGGGGTTTGATGTGTTCATTTTATAGTTTCGAATGCATATATTACTGTTTTATTAATTATGGGTTGAATGACTGAAGAATTGATACTGTATGTTGTCTGTTCGGCATGAATTACGATTTGCTTGTTTAAATGTGAATTGATGATGCTTATTGAGGAAAAGGGAAATGAAACATTGTATAGACTGATAACTGTATGATGGGGTCAGCCTGACTAGATATCCTGGGAGATGGTGGACGGACCGGGTCCATAGGGAACCCTACCGGGATTGTGGTCTCACATGCCGGACGGGGTATGGAGATCTTATGGTTTTGGCGCCCATACCGGACGGGGTATGGGGACGGCCCGTTTCACCCTCATACCGGACGGGGTATTGAGGTTTATGGTTTTGGCGCCCATACCGGACGGGGTATGGGGACGGCCCTGGAAACTGATTATGAATGTTAAAGGTTAACGGGTAGCGGAACTCCTATGGACCCCCACGGATACTAGTAGGCTGGTAAATGAGAAAAAGATATGTTGTACAATGATTGAATTACAAGAGGCGTGATAAGTGTTATGTTTTACAGCTTAGATTATTCAATGATTATGATGATGTTATTGTTTTTCTCATATTGTTTTCATAAATTCCACCAAGGTAAGTGGATGGTAAAAGTTTTATTATTGATAAAAGGTTTTATTGTAAATTATGCTCCATTGGTCTTTTGTGTTTTTCTACCCACCTTTACCTCCGTGACGGTGAGATATCGTGATGTTCTTACTGGGCTAGTGTAGCTCACTCCTTATTTAACCATTTCAGATCAGGAAGACATGGTTCCCGAGCCCGTTCCGCAGGAGGATGACGAAGGGGATACCTAGAGACTCTGTAGTCATACTCATAGTTTTATTTTCGAGTTTCTCTCTTAGTTAGTTTAATCTTTTATATTTTAAGTACGTTTCTGGTTTTTCGTGTAAGGGATGTTAACTGAAATTTTGATCTCGCTTCCGCATTTGATATATTTAAATACTCATTTCATTTTAATATTTACGGGGCCGTTACAGTTGGTATCAGAGCCGCATTTCCTCGGACCCATCCCTTACACTATAGTCCTTTAAAGAAATACTCACCGATTGGTCGTTACTCAACCATTCCTTGTAAATGCAGGTACACA